AGACATATATATATATATTTGTTTTTCAGGAGGTGGTTTTTGCTACGGTAAAGCTAATGGAAACTACCGAGATCCGGATAATTGTTCCGGGTTCATCACCTGCTCAAACTGGATAACGTACAAAAAGAACTGTTACCGCGGCTTAAAATAAAACAAGGACACGGACCGGTGTGATTGGCCACAAAATGTACAGTGTGGACAAGGTAGGGTTTATTAAAACTCTTTCTTCTAAGATATATTTTGCAACATCTGGGTCCAGCTGTTCCTGGGGGCTGAATATCACTATCCACTAGCGAATCGACATCCAGTAGATATATTTAAGTGTTGGCAAATAAAAAAATTTCCTTATCATGTAGATAGTGTGATATTTAGTGGACGATAGCGTTATCTATCCTTCGGAAGACTTGAGCTACAGTTCAAAAGGATAGTACGTTCTTGAAACATTTAATACTATTGATATTACAAATGAGACTAGTAAAACCACAATTCAAATTAGCAGTAGCCGGTCGACGTACAGTCCGCGGTTTCGCAGTTCGTTTTCACGAAGTGTTGAAAGATCTTAAACAAGCGAGCTATTCTTAGAACAAGCGGGTGCTAGAGGGAAGAAATACTCCTAATCGCTTCACGCTACTGGAACCGGAGATGAGCACCGTCCGGATGGGCCTCTTGGCGACAATTTAAACTTAACTTGACTCCGAGAATGACATTATGGATATTTAATTACCTGTTACTTAACGGTGTACTTTTGTTGTTCCCTTCATACGTCAATTAAAAACGTGCTCCACAGAAGCGGAATGCAAGACAAAGACAACGAAGGGCCAATGCTGCAGTTTACCTTTCTTTTATAAGGGGGTAAAATACAATTCTTGTACCAAAGCGTGGCACAACAACCTGTGGTGTTCGCTGGACACTTACTACAAGGGAAGGTGGGGAAATTGTGGTAAGTAATATGAGAATCATGTTGTGATTAACGTAACACTGAAAGGTAAATGTCTGCAAGGGGTTAGGGTTTAGGGCTAGGGTTTTGACTGCTCTGTGATTTATCTGTTAAATAAGTTAATGCTTCGCCTAAAAACGAGGTGTGAGCTAGAGGTGAGCCGGAGGTTAAACCGGAGGTGAGCACCGGCCGGATGGGCGACTTGGCTCCAATTCAGACTTTACCTCACTCCGAAAATGACATTTGTGGATATTTAACTAGCTGTCACTTGACGGTGTACTTTTGTTGTCCCTTTCATATGTTAATTAAAAACGTGCTCCACAGAAGCGGAATGCAAGACAAAGACAACGAATGGCCAATGCTGCAGTTTACCTTTCTTTTACAAGGGGGTAACATACAATTCCTGTACCAAAGCGTGGCACAACAAGCTATGGTGTTCGCTTGACAGTTACTACAAGGGAAGGTGGGGAAATTGTGGTATTAGAATGATATTAAGATTAACTTAACACTCAAAAGTAAATGTCTACAAGGGGTTGGGATTTAGGGTTAGGGCTTTGACCACCCCGTACGTGTGTAATTCATCTGTCAAATAAGTTGATGCTTTGCCGAGGTGAAACGAGTTGAAACGAGGTGAAGCATTTCCAGGGCCAGAATTACGATATAATTTAGCTTGACAATGAACCACCTTGAAGCAAACTGTCGATCTGCCTTGAGTTAACAGCCAAAAACCACCATTTGTTATCTCCTTTTTCTACATTTTTTCAAGAAGTTAATTTAAAACTTCCATAGAGATTTAAAGAAAAAAATAAATTGAAACAAGAGATAAAGAATCTTACCAATAGTTAGCGCGAAGGTCCATAAACAAGACCCGATCAGGGCCTGATATGATATAATTTATCTTAAAAATTAGTTATTTTGAAGCGACCTATTTGGCTTGAGTATATAGCATTGATATCCATTAGTTAATAGCTAATTCTACATTTTTTTTTTAAAATCATTTTTAAATTCCCATGAAGATTAGAGGAAAAAAAAAAACCCTTCTATCTTAATTAGTAATTAAAGCCAGCCATGAATATCAGTCGTTAGAGAGGTGTCAGACCTAATATCAAGCTTAAAAACATTGGCCTTAAAAATCATACAGCATATCCTCATTGAGTTAAAAATCTTTTCTTTAGTTTTGTAATTACACAATTTGAAGTCCTGCAAAACTACGTAAAAGAGAAATGCCGTGAATTACCTATAAAGGCAGTGAAAGTGTAATAAGAACAAAACTAAACCAAGCTCAAAAGTTTCACCATCTGAAAGGTGGATATTAAAGAATTTAACAGAGTTAATTTCAAGAGGGATGGGGTAATCAAGATCATAAATCCGTCCCAGGCTCAGTACAGCGGTCACGAAAACTATAATCGTTCAGCCTTGCTTTGCAACCGCGCTAGATACATTATGTAGCAGCATAAATGCCGTTCGCATTAAGAGCACACATCAACAGGTACGCTAAGGTCCTTTAACATGGTACATCCTTTATGTGATTCACCGCTAGCTTAACATATCCTCGTTCAAGCATTCTTCAACTCAGTATTTCTAAAGGGATCAGGCAATAACTAATGGTGTTACGACGAAGCCGTTCCTTTGGAAATTTGTAGGACTGTTAAGTTAACGTTGTATTTTTTGTTATTCCTTACATCTGTGTATTAGAAACGTCCTCCCCAGAACCTGAATGTAAGATAAAGGCAACGAAAGGCAAATGCTGCAGTTTACCTTTTACTTACAAAGGAGTAAAATACAACTCCTGTACCAAAACTAATCACAACGAGCTGTGGTGTTCGTTGGACACTTACTACAAAGGAAGGTGGGGAACTTGTGGTAAGTAATAGAATGATGTTGTGATTAACTTAACACTTTTGAGCAAATGTTTGCAGGAATCAAACTAAATACGCAAATATAGCAAACATGTGACTTCTTCCGAGACTGCTCAAAGATCTCGAACTCCGTTTGTAAGCTGTTCACGGGCACTTATTGACGCCTATGGGATTTGTTTCTCGACTAATTTGATGTTTCGTCCAAAAATGAGTACAATCATTTTGAGCCAGGTAGGATTACTTTTAGTTTCAAAAATTAATCATTTTGATACGAACTGTTTCCCTTGAAAACTTAAAATTGTCCATTATTTGTCCATATGGAGGTATTGATCACTCTGATTACATTGTCAAATAATTCGATGTCATCGCTTAAAAAAGCAAAGGATATCTTTAGCACCTCCTAGTTTCTATAACACTATTCCATCAATATAAATAGAAACGGACAACCACTTCCTGTTTCCGTAGTACATGAAATCCTTTAAATGCCTTTGGAAAAGATAATTTGCAACAAACCATGGTTTTTTTTTTTTTTATATATAGTATAAAGAGATATGTGCAAATGCTTTTCAGGCGTTAGAAGTGGACGAAGTTTAAAGTCTTTCTTCCTTTAAGTCTTTATTGCTGTTTTGATGTTAGGTGGAGAGGTAAGTACCGGTTGCAAAGAGGGAAGCACTTCCTATGATGAATGTGGGCAAAGGTGCACCTGTGTTGGAGGCCAATTGGTTAACTGTGTTCGAATTAGAAAGGAATTCACATCATTGACAGATACCGAGCGAAAACGTCACATAGATACTATATTAAAAGTATCTGCAAAAGGTGGTAAATATAGGGCAGAATATGAACAGCTCATAAATCAGCACTATAGGCTGTTCAGTACAGAAATTCATCAAAAGAAATACTTTCTCCCCTGGCATCGTTATTACATACTGCAATACGAGAACCTTATGCGAAAAGCCGATTGCACTTTTACAGCGACCTACTGGGACTGGAGTCTAGATTCCAGGGAACCATTTAGCACAGGTCCAGATAACGTTTGGAACAAAGACACCGGGTTTGGAGGAAATGGCGTAGATACTGATCAAAACTGCGTGCTGGACGGTCCCTTTAGAAAGGACGCCTGGAGCCGAGTGAGACCAGATAACGCGCGCCGTGGGCCAGACTGCCTAATGCGGAATTTCAATGGAATTCCTCCAGAAGAGATAGATGTGATAAGGGCCTTGAGCATGGGTGAATTCACTGAGTTTGAACGGACTCTGAGAGAACCGCTGCATGACAACGTACACTGTCAAATCGGGGCCACCATGTGCACATCAGAAGCCGCTTCCGCTCCAGAGTTTTTTCTTCATCACAGTTTCATCGATAAGATCTGGGACGATTGGCAAAAGAAAAGCCTGGCCCACAAGAACGCATACTTTCCGACGGTTCGAGAAGACATGCCAGAAACACAGCTGAGACCTGCTGAACTGATTGATCTTTCCAACCAACCAGGAGGTGTAAGCATTGAGTACGAGCCTTTCCAGCCAGAAGAAGAGATAAGGAAAAAAGTTGCAGGTAAGAAACCGTTCATGCATCCAGCACTTTATATTAGAGACACATTCCAGTGGGCGAATATTCCAACAACTTACTTCATTCTTCTTTTCCCTCCTTTCCTTTTCTTTATTTCTTTTCTTTTTCTTTTTTTTATATTTTTCATTTTTTCTTCCCGTTCTCTCTTTTTCCTTTCTTTCTTTGGTCTTTCTCTCCTTTGTTCTTTCTTTACTCGATATCTCTTCTTAATATTTAACTCGTCTCTCACTCTTTCCCTCTGTCCCACTGTATTGGGTGTAGAGCTATGTTTTAATTTTTCTAAGATCTGTCAAGGTTCAGGAGCAGTCAAGTAGCAGTAACGACGTCACAAGGAAGAAAAACGCACAAAACAAAACAAGAAAACAAGATAAAAATTAAAAACAAAGCAATCAAAGTGAAAATAATTAAACCAACATGAAAAGTAGGCGTAAATCCCTTATGTTTCTAGATAAAACACTAATTTCCTTTTTCGAAAAAATTGGCAACCTTAAATTCAAGCTTCTGTCTGAGAAACTAACGGCTTTTTCCTCATAGGGGGTTGCTACAATGAAGCTTCAGTTTTGTCAACACTTTTTGTCAAAGTTCTTCCTAAAATAATTTACTTCTTTTGGCGGCAAAGCATTGCGCCGCAAAGGTAAGCAGGTCCCAAGAATTCGATTCATTGTTTTTTACTACGAAATAGATCTTAATATACAAAGAGAAACCGCTCATTCGGGCCCTGGTTTCAATCAATCAATCAATCAATCAATCAATCAATCAATCAATCAATCAATCAATCAATCAATCAATTAATGCTTAAAATTGCTTAAAACTAATGCAACCAACACAGTTAAAATGTAATCATTCTGCTATTCTGCAATAAAGCTGTTTGTCTTTGTTTGCTCCAGGTTTGAGTCCAGACCAGCTACGTCACTATCCGCGCCGAGCTTTCACTGGTCTCAGTCTACAAGCTGTCCGACTGTTCAAGATATCAGCAGCTGAAGTAAAGAAGATCAGAGAGCTTGAGAAATGGCTTGATCCCAATGTGATCCAGCCTAAATATTAACACTGTTTGTTTGTTACCCTAATGATTGTAGTGTGCACCCCTTTGTCAGATCTCAACACCTAGGCCCGTCCACACGTATCCGGATATGTTTGAATTCGCAACTTTTTCTTTCCGGATACTGCTTTTGTCCACACGCATCTGACGAATTCGCGAACCAATCCGGATATTTTTTAATCCGCTCTCCAGAGTGAAAAAAAAAAAATACATCCGCAATGAATCCGATAACTTGTGGACCGTGAATCCGGATATTTTCGAATTCGATGTCGTATCAAAATCGTGTCCAGTCTCTTACTGGACAATAAACCAATATGGCGGCGCAACGTGTAGGCCTACATGTAGTTTTTCTAGAGTGAATCCGGATGCCATCGAATGGGTGTGGACAGGCGAACTCGATTTGAGTACGTTACGGGAGCACGGGGAAATTTTTGAGTCCGGAAAGAAAAAGTTGCGGATTCAAAAATATCCGGATACGTGTGGCCGGGACCTTAGCCTTGGCGTATTAGGGAGTTTACATAAACCACAAAGACAGCGGCAACGAGAACGTCGCTAAACAAAAGGTTTATTGAGCAGAGCAATGGCTGTGCACGCGCGTTATAATTCTTTGTACATTTCATTGCCGTCCTCTCCAAAGCAACAACGTGAAATTACCAAACTATGCGTTGTCTAGAAAACGTTCACGACGACGGCTAATTTTTTTAAATTTCAATTTCGAATTTAACGCTGTGTTCCATATTCAGTTTTGAGTATCGCGAGATTCCTAGGTAGTTTCGCTTCGCCGTTGTGGCTTCTTAAACTCCTTATTTAACATTAGAATACAACCCTGAGTTTTCTGTGAACGAATCGTTAACAAGGCGTAGCTGATTTGACTACTCCTCATAGAGAACAAGGGCGAGTAGTGTAATTGTTTTAGTAGACAAGCACAAAACGTACAAACGTAGGTATTTTTTAAATCAAAACTTAAGCATAATTTTCAGTTTCAAGAGCAGCCCGAGCGATTGTTGTCTTTCAGCGCATTGTAGATAACAATGAGAGAGGCAGGCAGAATCTCGAATTTCCATTAATAGAACATGCACAGCTGAAGGGCTACTAAAAAAAAAAAACAAAAACAAAAACATGCACATGCAGATTCAATGTTACCGTACATCTGTTGAGTACTATGTCACAGTGCACGTCAAACTGTGGTAAGAACATCAGTGGCACACTTGCATAATCATCTATCACATTAATTTTTATATCATCTGTGATTAGCTACTGAACAGAACACAGCAACACGGTGACATGGCAACATCTATTTGATAATCGGGAAATTAGAGCAACCCTTCTGAAATCGTGAGATTTTATTGGTGGATTATCATCGCACGATGGTTCTGAAAGAATATGGGAGGGAGAGGAAGACTCGGAGAGGGTTCCTCTTGCTGTTCGCCCAAGGGTAAATTCTTCAATTTGAAGAGCCAGGGAATGTGATCTCAATGATATATAAACGCACCTGGTTCGTCTGCAACATTGCCGTATAATGTAGGAATTAGGCAATCTTTTCAAAACTTCTTTCACCTTTTTTGACTTCAATTGCGAGGTCGTTAACAACAAACTAGGCATTGAGAATACAACTGATTGAAACCAACGGATAACTGCTCAAAGTACGTGTTGCTTCTGTAGTATGCATAATGTAGAATGTTTTGGTCCGGGGGCTTTGATATGAAAGAGTTGCAGATGCTCGCCGGAAAAGTTGAATTGAATTCCTGAAGGGGACCAGTTAATCTGGGCATTGCTTCGGCTTTTTTTGACCCCTGAAAGATAACAATTAGAACGGAACAGGCTTGATTACCAGCTGCTGTCCGGGAAAGGAGCCCGGACAAGTAGATTGGACTCAAGAGACCAGCGAAAGTCGAGCCCAAAAAACGGAAACGTGTTCTTAATTTCCAACTCTTCTAGTGCATCTTAAAAGATACTTTGACATCTAAAAAGTGGTGGCGTTTTGTCCTGAACACACTAAATAAGGCCAAAGCCCTTGAGATACAATCCTGGGCCAGACGACGAACATTCCCGACCTTTTCATATGGAAGACCAAACTCCCTTTGTTGTTTTGGAACTAATGATCGAGCTAAGGTTAATTAAAATTAAGTGACAATTATAATCTAGTCGGAAAGAATATTTTGGCATGATAAAAGTTTTATGTCCAGGCCGCAGTTAATTAGGACTTAAAGTTTTAGTAACCTTTTTTTGTTGATAATATACAATTAAAATCCAGTCATAAGCATTTGTGCCTGAGCTTGAGTGGCTTTTTTCGCTTTATAGTAAATCGTGCAAGGTTTGCAGGTGGGATTTAGATTGCTTCTCAGTAAAACGGTAGAGAATTGTTTTAGCAAAGTTTCTGGATTGCTAATGGTTAGAANTTTTTTTTTTTTTGTCTCTTGAGTTTAATTGCACCTCACAATATAGGCAGACTTTTTTATTCATTCCCAATACTCGTCTCTTAACTCGTTTCCGTAGCAAGGGTTTACAAGAGATACTGTTACCGCATGGACTGGACGTTACGTCGATCACGAGGGCTGTCCATGCCATTTGAGTTCAAAAACAGCAACACACTAGGCAGAGGTTCTCTAATTGACTATTCAAAGGGCTTAAAAGTATTGAACTGATTATAATCAATCTTCAATTGCAAGTAAACCGGTTGAATAGTTTACTTTATTGATAATCACGTCAATCACGATTCCATGCACGAGGAAATGACGTCACATTTCAAAAGGGTTTTTAAGATTCACGTGTACTTTTGAGAAATATTTTATCAAAGCGCTAAAGATCTTTTTTCGTGTTTACTTGGCTAGATCTTAAAACTTTCGAGTGTTACACAAATTATCGACTGCGTTTTGGGTTTGCGCAATTGTCTCGAATTCTTACAACCCCCTTCCCCCTCTTTGTGTTTAGAACAGGCTACGTAAACACAGAAAAAGTCGTTCATTGCTTAATTGTAAATTTCAGAGGGCTTTGATAAAGGAACCGCGAAGACAGCACAGAAATAAGCGATAACGTGAACACAACCTCCACGGCGTCTATTTCATTGTACAAAACTTGCCGAAAACAACAAGTTTCTTTACATTTCCTGTTTCCTTGAATTTTTCCAAATTTCTTGAATAAATTTTGGAGCTGGTCTGTCTTATTTGACTAGTATTTGAAATCCAAGATGGCGGATCCAACTTGGCATTGCTTTAATGTATGGCGCTATTTACTCGTTATAAACTATCTAGCGGCGAGAATCATCAACTTACATTCAAGAGGGAGCCTTGAAGCCGTTTTCGAGCCAAGAAATTGGCAAATTTAAATTTGTACCTACAGCTGGAGAAAAGTACAGTCGAACCTTGCGTAAGCGACCACCCAAAATGTCAAGCCTACATAATCACTTATGGGGAGGTGGTCGCTTACGAGAGTTTAGACCATATTCGGTCAACATTTGGCTAGATTAGAATAGGGTAGCTTTAAAGACTGACCCCATGCAACAATGCCAATGCATTGTTTTATTAAGGTGAAAAGTCAATTACAAGCAAAAAAATCCGCCTCTTCCCATTGAGAGATTACCTTCTCTAGTACAACCCAGGAATACGATAATGTTGCAACACCCTATCATCCAATTTCCTCCCTATTGTCTGTCAACTGGTCGCTCACGGCAGGTTAAGAATGCAAGAAAATTTAGTCACGGTCGCTTACGAGAGGTGGTCGCTTACAAGAGGTTCCAAATATAGTTATTTGGCTGGGTAACTTTTGGTATTTTTGAAAACTGGTTGCCGAGGATAGGTTGTCGCTTACTAGAGGTGGTCGCAACCGGAGGTTCGACTGTAGGAGTTTAGTTGTTAAGTGGTGATTCCCTGTCTTTTATTCCGAAGTAAGTTCCTTTCAGGACAACGGACCTCGACGGCGACAGAACAGTGTCGGGAGATTCGTAGAACAGGTATGTTATTAGCTATAGAAAGTTTATTGTTGTGTGCAAAACCAAACGGCACTTTTATTCAAATTGTGACTCAGCATGTAAAAATGACTCAAAATTCAGGGCGACAAGGTCGGTGGATAAGCGAAAAACAAGAAGCAATTAGATCATTCATAAGACTGGTGGCTAAATTAAAGGTTATCAAACGTTTCAAATAAAGAATGGTGGTTTGTTTCTTGCTTTGTGTGTTTTACAGGTGGTTTATGTACTAACCAGTACAGACTAAACTGAAAAATGACAAAACTAGAAACACTAGATATCGATCTACAGTAAGCTGACTGGCATGAAATCCTGTCTTTGTAAGACCACCTGGTATTCGCGATAAGAGGGCAACATTTTTAAGGTACTGAACTGTAATGATAATTGCTCTTATTTAATCTACACAGCATGACATGATAAAATAATTATGTTTAGATTTAGCGGAAAACGAAAAAAGCAAACAAACAAATAAACGTCAGGTTTTAGAGAAAATAATTTACACGCAATCATATGATGGTCCGTCCCTCCTTGAAAAAATGGCATAGACCCCATCAATTTATAGACTTTTACAAAGATAATGTTTTGCTACAGGTTGAACAAAAAGTGGCCCATGAACCAAATTGAAAGGTATCGTTTACATTACACATTTTAGGGGAACAGAAGAAGTGTGGAAGTGTGAGACTTAGGTAATTAGACAAGCACAGCTGTGTGGTGTTACTGAGCATGCGTAATTTCCGTAGAACATAATAAGGATAAACAAGGGTGAGTCGACCGTTGTTGTACGTTTCCACTTCGAGCGGAAATCGACTGCATCTACTTTTAAATTAAGACAGCCTTACAAACGATTAAGCTTACAGGAAAGTCGAAGGGTAACTTCGTTACCAATTTAAAATTAAAATTAAGATAAAAACGTTCGCTGGCTGAAAAATTTCAAAAAAGAACATGAGCTTTCGGTTGTCAATCTACAGCCTTCGACGGATAAAAAATGGATTGCAAATTGATAAAATATATGCAAGAAAAGGCGAGATAAAAATAATAAGAAGAACAAAAGCAAAGTATAAATGTGTAAAGTAGGTGACTATTGTTTAGAAAGAATACTATACTGGTTTAGAATCGGCTTAGAATTATTGTCAGCTTGCTTGGTAGCAGAGGTATGCCAAGCCTCCAAAGTTTTTCTAATGCGAAAAGAGCCTTTGTCAATGACACTAGAATTATCAAAATCTATGCGACGGTCGAATGACCACGCATGTTTCGCAATGTTCGAGCCATTAGCACATGTTTTGACATTCCTGATATGTTCTTTTTTACGATCGAGTTTCAAATTTTTCAAGTTTCAAATTTTTTAGCCAGCGAACGTTTTTATCTTAATTTTAGTTATGTCTCGTCCTGGTTGCGCTTCAATCTGTAGTCAATTTAAAATCCTTTCTCCGCTGAAGTCAATATCAAACATATGGTTAATTAATAACTTTCATATATGAACCTTTTTGCAGATCTTCGGCAAGAATGGTAACCTTGGCATTTATTATAACAGTACTTCTGGTGAATTTGGCTGCAGGTGAGATGGCTAGTTAAAACTATCCAGCACCTATCTGTAGACGCCTCTATGTTATTTGGGAAAGTTAACATCAAAGAAATTAAAAATCTTATATTCCCTTTCACTATGCGAACAAAACAACAACCCAGCAACAGCAACAGCAACAACAACAACAACAACAACAACAACAGCAACAGGAGGAGGAGGAGTAACATGCTGAATAGTCTAACCTGCTGAATGTTTTCTCGATGAGTGCCCCAAATGAAAAATTATATAATAGAAGAATTCCCTGAAAGTGGAAGAAATGTTGTTTTTCATGTTCAGATGAGGTTTTGATCTTGAAGAATTTGAAAGGAAAATTAAAGTATCTCAAGATATAATCCTTCAAATATTTTCGCTCGCTGGCGATTGGTCTAAACGCGTCACGTGACTGAATATGACGCAGCTTAAAGTGGGGAACATCCGAGTGATATTCCCCAATTTTCAAAACTACGCGTAGTTGAGAAAAATATTTCAAGAATAATAAACACAACAGCTTCCATTTAGCGCGAAATTATGCTTGGATATTTGTCCTTGGACATAATCTGTTCATTAAAGGACCCTAGTCAGCCTCCGCTATTTTCGATGCCATCAAATTTATTGATATTGCATGGTGAGGTAAAATCTTATTGCCTTACTGTGAGTTGTGCTTCTGAAAGTATGTTTAATTATCTTAAGTGGTTTCACAGAGATTTCCTTCGTTTCGACATGCTCCGAAAAAAGTATCATTGCCAAACTCTTACATGTATACAAAAACAAAGGTGTGGCTGACTGGGGCCCTTTAAAACTCACAGTTTTCCTCGAGCTACGCTCTCGGAAAACTGCTTGCTTCTCGGAACAGATAATGTCCGCGGACAAATATCCGAGCACATTCTCGCGCCAAATGGAGGCCATTGTTTATGTACCGGCCAGAATAGTCATTTGTAGCTTTTGTAGATGCACTGCGTCTGTTTTGGAAAAAAAAAAAAATAGCACTATCTAGTCCCCGTTCGTTTACTCATTTCAGGATGTGAAAAAGGATGGAGAAAGTTTGACAACAAATGCCTCAAACTGTTTAACGAGAGTAAATCATGGCATGAAGCAGAGAAGTCGTGCGAAAGAGCTGGAGCTCACTTGGTAAAAGTTGAATCGGAAAAGGAAAACGACTTCTTGCTGCACACATTCATGCAAATACCAATTGGCAAATTGAACCGAGAGGCATGGATTGGACTTTCAGATAAAGAAAAGGAAGGCGAATTTATGTGGACAGATGGTACAAGCACGAAGTATTCCAACTGGGCTGCGGATCAACCCAATAACGAGGATGACGAACAGGACTGTGGCGAGATTGTAAACGGAGTCTTTTGGCCTGGAGGATTATCACAAATTGGACTTTGGAATGATTACCAGTGCCATATAAGACTGATGTATATCTGCCAAGAAAACAATAAATAAATGTATAAACGCATAAACAAACAGACAGACGGACAGACAGACAGACAGACAGAAAGACAGACAAAGCTACGAAAATGAACTGAATTAAACTGCAGGATAACTGAGCGAATGCAATTTGATGCTATATGTGCATGGATTAGAATTCCGTTTACACACCCATATTGAACAACTTTTACAAAGTTATAACTTATTCAATTGGAAATTTTTCCTCTATGTCAAAATGAGTCTTCGTGCAAAACCTTTCATTTGAGAGCAAACATCACATCGTGTTGGCAAGCCGGATAAATTCATATTGATACAATTCTGGAAAAACCAAAGTTTCCTTGCACGTATAACAATCGATTCTCCTCGACTTTTTTGACATTGAGAGGAATGTAACGGAAACTTTTCTCGAACAAAACTCCACGCGAAAAAGTATTAAAGAGAGATACGTCTTTAATACTTATCTTTACTATGCTTTTCTTAAAATCATCGTTCATATTTGTTGAAACTGATCTACATTTGTGGTCATTTTCTAACTGTAAACTGCCGTCGCTATGGCTGTTGCTACGTAAAAAAAAAATTATACCACTGAATTTCGAATTCTCACTCATCTAGAGCAAAATTCAGCAATCGTTTCAAAAAGCTTTGTACCAGTGTTCAAGGGTTTTAAATCTAACATTTTCAAAAAAATTGATTTTTTTTCCTGAACATCGTCATGCTTTAGCCTATCGAGCCACCTGAAGAAAAAGAGAGGGAGAGATAGAACGACAAATAAGGACTAGGGGTTGACACATTATGCTCCTAAAATCGAGCATTATGCTTTTTGGCACTGCCCCCAAAACGGACTATTATGCTCCAAATTATGTTCGATTGTATCTATTGTAATCGTAATTATGCCGCAAAATTTTTTTCCCGGACCCCGGTGAGTTATAATTATGCCGTAAAATTTTTTTTCCCGGACCCCGGTGAGTCATAATTGTGCCGTAATTTTTTTTTTCCGGGACCCCCGTGACGTGCGATAATAGAAACCACTTTGCCTAAAGTGCTCAATAGTAATGGAAACCATGTAGAACATTAAAATAGCTTGAAATTTTGTACTTTTAACTTAATAAATGGACAATAGTAGCTCTAAAAAAGGAAATAACTGTTATGTTGCAAAATGGTACTATTATGCCGTCAAAAAAGCACTATTATGCCGGCAAAATGCACTATTATGCCGGCATTATGCTCGATGCTCCACATATAGTATTATGCTCGAAGTTATGCCGGCATAATGTGTCAACCCCTAATAAGGACGGTTAATTAAAGTTTGGCGCAAAACATGACAAAATTAGATCAATGATACTTTCTTTTTCACACCCTCCAGTTGATCATAATAAATTCGACTTCAGAAAGCATTTGACTTTTTCACTTTGCCTAAATTTAGAGCAGGATCGGACGGAAACTGGAAAATGGAAAATACAATTTAAGTACTTGTCGGGCTGGTGGTTTTATTTATTGCTATTGATCTGTTTCAGTGAAGAAGGAAAATGATGATTTTTCTTTGTTTGTTTGTTCGGTGGCTTGATTCACATCGGTGCCGGAGAGATTGACAAACGGATAGAATAAGTAAGCCAGAACTTCATTTTTATGCCTGGATTTCCATCCAGTATTTCTCTTGAAACAGAAAGATTACATTCGTCTATCAAGAAGACAACTTTTATGAGGTACGATATTATAAAATATCCCTTAATAAAGTCTGATGTTTCCTCTGTGGGCTTTCTAGCGGGGGACGGGTTTTTATATAGAGAATTAAGTTTCATTTTGGCTTGATAAGGGTTGATCAATATGTGGACACGATGTTCGTCACGAAAGAAGAAACTTGAATGATGCATAGAGTAGTCGAAACAAAGCAAAATTGCCTTAATCCAATTGGTATTGGGATGCAAAACGGGTTGCTATGTCGTCTAGCGAGTGTAAAATGTTTCTGACTTTACCCCAAGGTTAAATACTGAAATAAGCTAAAAGTATACAATGAGGTTTATTATTGGGAAAGTCTCAATATATAGAGCTGAATTTAATCGTGAAAACACGGTCTCAGATTTGCTTGCTTTTATAGCACTGATATTTTTTTGGTCAGTATGAGGAGAGGAAATACTTAACTAAGTGTTTATATTCGCTGTTTATATATGGCAGTTAATCAACGAGTATACTTCTTATTAGTTTGACTCTATAATGCTATTTTTAAGTACATCATCTTCCTAACGATTAGATCTCTACGCAAGACGATCATACAATTCATTTTATTTACTAGTCATACTAATATTGTCATAAATACGTCGTTCATGGACGGCATTATAATTAATCGTTTGAAATAAGCCGGCTTACATGCGCTTCATGGCAGGCAAAGGCAAAGGTGTTAGAGACGAGTCGGCAAGCTAGGTCGAAGCGAGCCCGTGATTTGCTTGCTGACAAGCCTCTTCGGATTCGCCTTTGCTTGTGCCGCAGCACACGAGAGCCTCGCAAGCTAGAGTTGAGGAAAAATGGCTTTAAGATAAAGTACTATTCACCTACCTGAAGTTACTATTGTTATACTGGAAACGGTAAAAAGAAACCCTTCTTTGACTAATATTACATTACTCCTATTTAGACCGGTTAACAAAATTTATCTCAAATCTATCTGGAAACAATTTGTTATGACCTGCCATTGTACACGAACCGGTTGATGTTTTCGTAACAACTGTATAAAAGAATGTGTTTTTCCAATTTTTGAATTTCCTTCCTGTTATGTACAGTAATTGACTTTAATGCAGTTTTATCGATTGGTTTTGTGTCATTTTTAATGGTTTCCTGACGCTTTTGAAAAGACCCCCTCCAGGTTGGTGAAGATTAGAACCATAATTGACTCTTAGCTATGCCAAATCTGATCAATTCTTGATATTATATTCAGCCATTTTAAGCGTCATTACAGAATTACTACCTTCTTTCATGTCTCTGTCATTTTGAGTTCTTTTTCCATTACCACATTTTTTTTTTTTTTTTTGGTTTTTGTTTTGGTTTTTTACTAACCAACTTTCATAACTTGTGTGCAATACTATCAACTTCAAAGGTTGCTTGAACAAGTTTTAGCCGCAGCTTCTCTCTCACGGGTTGGCGCAAGAATGAAGTTTCTTGGAATGATATTGGCAGTACTTGTGGTCAACTGTGCAGCAGGTAATTACGCAACAGCGATTTAAGAATAGCGATGGCCTTATGGTTAGAGCGCTTGACTCCGCAAC